TGATAAAGATATACTTTAACTGTAAAATAAAACTGTAAAAATACTGTAGGATAATCACTTTTTATCATTTTTAAACTAAAAGTTTAAAAACGTATTACATGACGGTGCCATTTTATTTACACGCAAAGCATTCTGGGAAATTGATGACATCAACTAGGTCATTGGCACGAGGCTGCTAGTGAGCTATGTCCACTCGGACGTTTAATCTTGGACAATATCTGATGATCGACTCTTTTAAATGAAACCAGAGAGCGTTGACAGAGAGGAGAAGGTAGAAATGACTCAGCCTGTAACTGAAAATATGAATGGAGGACAACAGAGCTGCTTCATGGAAGAAGAACCTCAGCTTAGCCTGTTAGCTTTAGTGTTAGCACCCCCAGGAGAATCATTTGCTGAATGCTTTGTCCCCCCCAGTTCAAAAATCCTTTCTGCGCCCTTGGATACACACCAGGCAGACAAAGATAAGAGCAGAAAATATTAGGCCCACCAAAATGTCATAGCGGTTCTGGTAACTTAGTAGTCCAGCTTCTGGGCTTTTAAAGACTGGCTGAGATTTTTACAGCTGTTTGACTCAAAGAATCTGTTAAAAAGGTTGTCTGGATTAATCTCAAATTATGAGGGTTTCAAAAAGAATGGAATGGAAAATCTCTTGTGACTCATAAAACAGACACAATATTTGTTGCACTCACAACCATTTAAAAGAATAAACCAGACTTTCAGCTCTCCGGCATGTTCAGAAACACGTTTGTGTGTCTCGTACTCACCCTCTTTTGCTCTCTCCAGCGGCTGTGGAGTTTGTCCTGCAGTCGTCGGGCACCGGAGGCCCACTGCGCTGCCAGCCTGCGTATTCGTCTCTTCATGAAGCTCAAAGACTCCTTCCCAGTGCCCACCTGCTCCAGCAGAGTCCCAATATCAGACTGGAACACAGCCTGGATGATAGGAGCAATCATAATGATCACATCAACAGTAGCACAAATCGACATGATTTACTCAGAAGCTGAGTTCAAGTATCAGAGAGACTCTGAGTAAAAAGTGGAACACCAGAGTAAAAACTGGGCCTGAAGCAGAACAAGAGGGATAATAAGGGGTTAAACTAAACTGACATTATAAGTTTGTTCTCTATGAGGGAACCTTTTTTTATTGAGGGGTAGTTCTAACAGCCTGTTGTGTTGGATTATGTGTTTGCACCTCGAGGAGAAGCTTCTCCGGCTGCCTGAGGGAATCCTGGATTTACCTCATAAATAGTCAGTTTGTACTTTATATCTGTTTTAAATAAAACTCTGCACTACAATCCAATAAATGTGAATAACGTTTAATAAAGAACAAAACACGTGGCTACATGTGTAAAACTCACACTGAACATCACTTAAGTGCACAGCTGTGCATTGCTTTGGGAATATGGCTGTATTATTGCTCCCAGCAGCAACAATTTATGTACAGCAAAGCAGGATGTGGCGCATGTAAGAGATTAGTTTCTGGGAACACATGCAGAAATCAAAGAGAAGAACTTATTTCAGTGTCTATCATGCTGGCTGGACATAACTCTGAGGAAAAACCCTGAAGATGAGGCAAAGGCGAACGGTGGGGTAGACGATGTGGAGTTTTGTAGTGGAGGTCTGTGAAAAGATTACAACTAATTAATAGATTCATTGCTGATAACTTTTTAATGACCTTCATTTTGGAAAAAAAAAAAGACAAATTTTGACTGAGCTAAATGCAAGTTAGACCTGGGCCAAGAACAAATAAGAGTGCTGCCATTGTCAAACAGCTCCTACATCTAAAAGGAATCATTCAAATATATGCCCCAGAGAAGTGTCATTAAGAAACACAAAAATGGCTATAGCTCAGACGATTTTACAGATATGGGGATAAAACATGGAGTGGTAGTAGCTGAGCATCACTCTATACAGATAGTCTAACTGCTAACAGATCACAAGGTTTTTGTTTAAAGTCTTAGCATGCATGTTTTTTTTTTTTGTATTTTGCAAAAGTTCAATGCAAACAGAAGGACAAATGAAATGTCGCAGCCTTTTCTATCAAATATGTGTTCCTGCAGGCAAAACTGTTTTAATGATGCATAGCAGCAGTGTTGTAGAACTCAAGACCAGTCTTCACCAAGAAAGTGAGCAGTGATTGGGAGCAGAAGAAGTGTCTGCAAAATCTTCAGTAATACAATTTGGATACATACAACATCCAGAATATGTGTGTGAAACAAAATCCAGATGAAAGAGTAAAGCGACTTGTAAATTCTGAAGAGCTCATCTGTAAATTTTGTTGTGCCACTTGTACAATGACAATAAAAGGAATTCTAATTCTAATTCTTCTAATTCTAATTCTTTCAGAGACGGTGGGTACTATGTCAAACTTTAATCGTAATCTCATAAGAAAGGTAAGTAATGTGTAAGTGATGGCGGCAAAGCTAACCAGCTAACAGCAATCTTCTTCTGTACCAAAAATCTAGCTACCTGTGTGAATTATACTGAATGGTTTAGGGCACTAGTTTACATTTTCTTTCTGGTCTTGTACTAGACAGTCTCACCCTCCCTCAGTCTTGGTCTCGACTTGATCCAACCCCTAAAAGTCTTGATCTTGTCTTGGTCTCTAGACACTCTGGTCGTGGTCCTGACTTGGTCTCTGGTTAGGTGGTCTTGACACACAACAGTTCATGTGAACCCTTTTTTTCCATAAACATTGACATCACTACTAAATTCAATTCATTATTATGACAAAAAATAGGATTTTTGTTAGAAGTGCACCAGGTTGCACTGGAAAGGCTCCAACTAACAAGAATCAACAAGAGAAACWGTATTTTTGTGAAAGTGTGAATGCTGAGGGCTGAATGACTGCTGAATTTTGCTAAAGTGTTTAGCTAAATATTTGTTAAAAGGAGCAAAATGCTAACTGAAAGTAGCAAAACACTAGCTAAACACTAAATGCAGCAATGTACAAAACTTTTTTTTAATTAAAAAAACCACTAAAAATGAAAAATTGAGTTGTTCTGTGATGGCAGTAATCCATATTGGTCTTGATTATGCTCCGACTAGTCGATATATTGTTATTTTGATTTTTTGGTACCACTTTACAATAAGGCTCCCCTTATAGATGGTCTATAAATAGTTTATATTTCATCTGTAAACACTTTACAAATTGTTATTAATTGTCTATTATGTATTTAATTAAGGATGAGAAAGAGACAAAACTGTCCGGTTTCTTGCCAAACATTGAGCCAAATCTGTTCATGTACATACTGTATTACATCTAATTATCACGTGTCAAGGCAGATGAGCAGACCAGCAAGGAAACTCACAGGAAACCAAGTCAAACTATTAACAATGTTTATTTTACAGGTGTGGGGAAGGAATGTGCAGGGATCCAAATCTGAGGAGGAGGAGATCGACAGGTGAGCATCCAAGTCTTGTAGTTTATAAAATACAGGTTGTTGATAAAACTTGCTTTTGCTTACTTTCAGTGACAAGGTGAGAGAGCTTGGGTCCAGATGGAACTGAACGTGTGGTGAGGAATGACACAGGTGAGTATTTACATTTGATGGCGTTGGAGGCAGAGAGGCAGGGGATCCAGGTAACACCGAGGCTTCCAGGTTTTCCACAGGCAGTACTCAGGGTGAGGCTCAGGAGGATTTCACTAGAGGATAGGAAACACAAGTTAACTAAGTCAGGCTCAAGAGATTATTCACAGGCCGAGAAACGTTACCAATAGTAGACGTTGCTTCAGCGTTGAGGAGATGTCTGCAACTGCCTTKTAAAGGGTGGAAGATGGGAACCATCACAGGTGGAGCTGATCATCAATCAGCAGGTGGCAGCAGACAA